GGGCGAGGCAAAAGAGAAAGGCAGAAGGGCTGCGAGACAAACAAAGTGTGAGACCCCTCGGTCCTCTCAGGAGTGTGAGTGGAGGAGTGGGGCCTCTCTAATGACCAATCAACACCCTCCTTGCTGCCATGGCATCTGTTAGTACTCCAATGGCCTCCCGTCTGAGTGCGAGCCCACCCTGAACCCAACGCGCAGCCGGAATCCAATCAGACGGCAGAGACGACAAAGCTTGGGTCAAGGAGCGATTATGACATTTTGCAGAATGTCAACGTTCAACCTTTTCTAAAAGTTCTACTACTACAGTTTTGCTCTACGAATTCGACGGGTGGGAATGGGAAGGGGTGAGAGCCAAAGGGAGGGAAAAGGGAACATCACAGTGCTGCTTGAAGGGGCTACAAGCAGAGAAGAAAGACTGATAACTAACTAGCGAACAGCAGGAGACAGCGTGACACCTCCGGGTCTCAGTGAGAAAGGTTCTTAGGATACAGAACAAAAGAAACTCTTCATAGTTGGACAAAGTGAAGCTGCAAGGCCACGCGAATCGAATGAGGAGATGTTATTGTAATCCTGTACTATTGCTTTTCCGGTTCTCAAACCAATGCATGTCCATTTGTATTTCACCATTCAAACCTCCTGCAGCATATGTTTTACTACAAGTGAGAAACTATCCCGAGACACTAAAGCGGACGACAAACCTGTCACTTGTCTCAAAACGAAAAAGGCGCATGCTCAAAGATAAACAACTGACAGGCTCAAACATGAGATGGAAACAAAGCAACACAACAAGTACTTTCCCCATTCCCCCAAAAGCAGGCAGGGAAAACATTCTGATCATTTAAACCTGACCTGCAAGTCTGAACTGAGAGAGGGAAAAGTAAACCACACAAATGAACAGACCCTCGTCCTGAGACGCATCACTGCGTCTTTTTCTCTCTTTTTTAAAACACAGTAAATATTTCCTTAATTGCAGCATTAAAGTTGCCGTAAAATTGATACACTCATCTATTAAGTGTATTGCTTTGTTACTGGGAACAATCTGGCTGGAGGCATCGGGCGAGGACAGGTAGCATCTGTCCCCACCTACTGCCTTGGCAGCATTAGCGTCATCTGCTAGCTTTGGCAGCATCTTGGAAGCACATCAATATGGCTTTATGTAGCCAGGGCCGCTAGTAGCTAGCATGCCAGTCACGCTCTCAGGCATCTCGCTCACAGCCCGAGCATCCGCAGAGCACCGAGCCAAGAGAGCCAAGCAGAACTGAGCTCGGGGCGGAACAGGGAGGCGAGGTCTCCATGGACCTGCATGAGGAAAAAGGGCCAGTGTCTGTCATCTATAAACACATCCCTGCTTAGAAGTGTGGGGCCAAGTCCAGATATGAACACCGCAACCATTGTAGACGTGAGCTTGTTTTTGAGGGGGAGGGGAGGAGGGAGGGAGGGGGACGGGGACGGGGGGGCGTTTGCCGCCTCGCTCGAGTAATGTTGATGATCTCATCAAATTTCTGTATCACTGTTTTGTAAACAAATCTGTTCTTACCTGCACCACTGATGCATGGGTAGGGGGGAGGTGGGGGGAGGGAGGGAGAGTAGTCCAACCCCATGGGAGTTTGTCCTACGAGAACAAACTCAGAACACTGGCAGAGTTATTTACTCTAAATACCATGCTCCTCGCTTTAAAGTTGTATTCTCCTTCACCAGTGAGAAGAGAAGTAACGGGATCTGGAGGCCTGTGAATAAGACTTAGAAGGTGTCGGGGCTGAAAGGATTGGAACTGCGTCAAGTTTTAATTACCGCAGGTCGTAAGTGCCAATCGGGCAAGTGCACCTTTGGACCGCAATTAGCAACGCTTAAGTACAAGATGGCTGTGAGTCGTATTAGTCACAGCTAGCACAAGCAGCGGTGTGAGCCAAAGTCAATTATGCAAATTTGACTAATATTGACAAATGAGGAACACTTTTTCACGCTCATTTTCTGTAACAGGTGACCTTCAATGAATTGGCCATCGTAGCAATGATGAATTGTTATAAACTCGAATGGATCAGTCATTTGAGGCTCGCAGAACACAAAACGGATGTGTAAATGCTGGCTTCAGTTTGGGTCATGGGGGAAGGCAGCGTTCTTTACACCCGGTTCAGACATGGCTTCCCGACGGTGCACGTGGCTCAGTTTTCCCAGCGGGATGGAGAGTCTGCATAGCTCAACCCACTGCTGCCTTAGGAACCGGTTTTGCCATTTTACCCTGTGATAGACGATATATGTGTGTGAGTTCAAAGCTTACCAGTTATTGATTCTAGATTAGTAATAACTATTTATATTTGGTAAACATGTTACAGAGAAATATTAAAGTTGTGTCTGTGTAACATTGTAACCTCATAAACAGGAGAGCACTCTGTCGGTTAAAAAGATCTTCATGTGACGCCTAAGAAAAAAAAACAAAAAAAAAAACAGGCTTATCGCAGGCCTGCGTGCAGAAAATGTGGGCGTCATCTGCAAACATATCGCAGACTACAGAAGATGTGAAACCCGCTTTGCACGGGAAGTGGAGTGCTAGGCGTGCTGACCATTTATAAATGGCAAATGTTTGAATAAGAACAGGTTTATCTGTAGTTTTCTCATGACTATTACAAACAAATAGGTACTACCCTCCACACTACAATGGCATGATGCCATGCTGTCGCACATGGGATTTCATTTCCAACCTGCAAGTCCAGGATGTGGTGACGGCGGCAAAACGACGGTGCAGTATCAGCAAAACTGTGCACACAGCAAGCGTTCCAGTCGATAAAAGAGGACACCCTGTCAGTCACTTCAAAGCACGTCATTACTAACTGTAATCAGACAGCCAAGCACTAAACTGTTACGGAGGAGGGGGGGGGGGGGTTATGAGAACTGCGAACAAACCGAAACCCCACGTTCACTTCTCCAAATGCTCAAACGTTCCACATCACGTTGCCATGACAATTTTATTACAGCCAATCATGGTTGCACTCTTCTTTGTTCACCACGGAGTTAGTGGGAAGATAAAGTGCAAATGTGTGGTGGCGTTTTTCTTGGCAAGGTACCTAATGCTTGGCTGAAGGAGAAACAGCTCTTGTTTGTGGTGAGGTTTCATAGCTGACCAAAGCTGTTCTGTTATGACTCATAGCTTTAACCCTTTCAGCTCACGACAGAAACACGCATCCAGGAACTGAGACAAATGCATTTATTGCTGTTAGACAGGTCAGTTATAGGGCTTATCGCATGTGGAAATGTAGAATATTTGCACACAATTCCTTCATCCAGGGCTAGTACAATGACAGCATAGTTTTAGCATTTCAAGAATAATTCAACTTCATACAGAAGCAGCTAAAGCAAAGTAAAAAAAAAAAAAAGGGAAATTGATCGGATTCGAAGAGAAGTGATTCATTCCTCAATGGTTACCGTAACTACAGGCAGACAGTATACATGCTGGAGGGGAGGGGGGGGGGGGGGCAGCAGTGCTCCAGGGAGCAGGAGCCCGGATATGAATCCGACCCTGGATCATATACATGAGGGAAGTCAGTTATTACGGCGCAGGCCGGCGGTTTATGAGTTTGGTTTAAAAACATCAGATCTACGTCCAAGGACAACTTTCCGTCCACTCCGGTCAGCTCGGCAGCTGCTCGAGCGAACCCTGCACATAACACCTCCTTAACGTCAAAACTGAGCGGGCACAATGAGACAGCTGGTGTAATGTGCAGCGAAAAGGCTTTTTTACATGATATCGGACTCTCGGGCGCCACCGGATATGGATGTGAGATACAGGTTACCTAGTTTCCCATATTCATCGAGGCGGATCGTGTGGTTGTTGTCCCTCATCGGCCTTCAGTCATTTCCTGAACCAGCCTGGACACTTTTGGTCAAAGCCAACCGCGGCTGGAATGTTTGACGCTTAATGCGGGTTTGCTGACCCAAGCGCGAGCTCGCTAAAACAATCTCTGAGGGATCCCAAGAAAAAAGGCCTGCACTGCTTAACTGATGGTCAGAGTAGTACAGAATGGAAAACGAGAGAAGAATGTTCAAACACTGACACAGAAAACATCTCTGACGCATCGCAGATGGACTCGGCGACGACCTTTTCTCGTACTTACGATGTTGACAGAGTAAACACACACAATAACAGCACGGACATAGTGAGTGCCCTCGTTGTGCAACACTGGACTCGGCCATGCGGTGCCGGAGTTAAAATACCGTGCAAAAACACTGCTGCCGACGCCAAATGACACCCTGCCTTTTGCAGACTTACAATTACTGTCGTTTCACAAACATCAGCATTTTTTTACAATAACATGGCAGACAAAAAGAAACAAACTCAAAAGGATTGAAGTCAGGGCCAGAACTAACAACGACTGTATTTGTTGAATACTTTTCGGATTGTTATTACTAATCAATAAATGGAACATCGTGTTCACAAATCGTGTTTTGCCAAAAACATTAAAACAAAAAAGTGTTGAAACTAAACTCTTGAGCTGCTGGAAACCCAAGAGGACTTCAATGACTTAGTAGTTACTAATATTGCTGATGGTAGATTTTATGGGAACCAGCTAATCATTTAGCAGGCAGCGAGTCGACGCTGTTAGATGACCTCTTCTACACTGAGAAGCCCAACGATCAATGACAACACGCGTCCATCCTCAGTTCGGCCTTCTCTACTTCAGACTGACGCGGCGGAACACCGGTGGCAAAGAAAATGCAATAACGCTTTGCTGCAGTGGACTACAGTACACTTAAATGTGAGAGGGTGATCTCTGCACTATGTGGTGCTGTGGTTCTGTGTCATGTGATTTTTTTTTATCCAGAGTATTTCAGAACTTTCAGACTGTAACAATAATTCATAACGAACGAATCTATTTCTGAACTATAAATAAACTCAACAAATCCTATTTTGTGGCAATAACAACACTACCTTATCATGCATATTTCTAAGTTGAGCCACGTTGTCTTGTCTCGGTAGCAGTGGACAGGGACACACTGACATCACCTACCTTCATTTCCAGACGTCGGACACGCCACCTGTGCAACCACATCAAACGTTCTTTCTGGATTTTCCCTGAAAAGAACAAAACACACGGTTCACTCGGGGGGTAAAGTGGCAGCTGGTAACACACACACACACACACACACACACACACACACACACACACACACGCACGCGCGCGGGCAACAAGTGTGCTTTATTCAGGCTCCGCGCGCATAGCGACCTTTTTGAATTCCATCACATTAATAAGCGAGTCGTGGACGCGTCCTGTCCCCCACGTCCCGCTGTCATCAGCCGAGCGCGTCACCGACAACCTCCGCGCTGCGCGCTCCGTCACGGCGGCTGTTCTCCGACGACATGTTGGGACAAAAGTTGCGGGGACAGGACACCTGGTGTCCACGCAGGACGCGTTTGACCGCTGTCCGGTGGGCTAGCGGGGCTGCTAATTGGTGGTTGGCTAACGTCAGTAAGACGGACGGACGGACGGACCGGACCGGACGCCCCCCCGCCTCTCCCCCACCGGCCGGCCTGGTGGTTACATCCACCTTTTGGAGATGGCTAAAATTACGGCCAAACCGCGCCGCGCCGCGTCCACGTTACGCGGCGCGCGCATTTAGCCGTTAGCTCAACAGCTCCACGTCGAGAAGCGATGGATGGAGCTCAACTCGGGGGTGGAGGGTGGTGGTGGTGGTGGTGGTGGGGGGTCTTACTTTTATTCTGCAGTCCATGGTTTAGCTACAGCATCGCGACAACTCCGTGCTGTCGGCGTCTCTGCTGTGGCTGTCCTGAGAATATGTCCAGCTCGTCCTCCGCTCTCAGCCGTCACTCATTTCTCTCCCATCTGACACCGGTCGAAAGACGCCGCATGTCCGGTGTTGGGGGGCGGGGGGGGGGCAGTAGTTTGTGCCGTCCTTTTCCTGTCGCTACAAAGTAGCCCGGACGGCCAGATCAGCACCGCGGCGCTTGTTTCCCACAACAAACACCACTCCAGGAAGTGCTGTCAAAGATTTGGTGACGTCAGCGCGTCGGATTAGCGGCTTGCTGCGGCTGCTGCCTCCGAGCATCTCTCCCCCCCCCCGCATGCATGAGTAACCGGCACGGTGCACGCAGCCGACCTGAGCCGCCTGATTCATGCTTCTGATGGAGACGGGTAAAATAAAATACTCACTCCCGTGAGACTGCATCGTTAGTCGAGTTATAGTTGTAGCCTTCAGCCGTGGTTCTCAACGTGGGGTCCTGGGACCATCCGGGGTCGTTGTAAGGTTTTTCAATTTGAGAGGGTATATTTTTTTGCCATTAGGAAGCTGTAAAACCACCTGCAAACACATGGTGACATGTTTTATCATGGCCTTCGAAAGTTGTTATGGTAACAGTTGCCCGTTTTTTAATCTTTAGAAGATACCAAGACACAACATCGCACACATTTGGCGTCATGTTTCTGGCCGCCTGACTTAAAGCTGAATATTATCTCTCTTTTCTCTTCTTTCTAGTGAAAGATCCAGTGTCAGTACGACAGGTGTCTGCTGTGAGCACTTGGAGGTGGGTACATGCGTATACAAACGTAGTCGGCCATTACCCCAGTTTATCAAACGTGGGTCTCTTGTATTACAGAAACTAGCATTGAGATGTTTTGAGCGAGGCCTAAAGGATTGAGAGGTCAGTTATGATTACATGATTGTCGGCTTAATCTGTGGGGGGGCGGTGAAAGAGTAGTGCTCACCCGTTTCTGATTACCACCACAGTGCCTTTGAGCACTGCCCTCAACCCTCAGCCGCTGAGTTGCTCAGCAGCCAACAGGGCTGTGGTGGACAGTAAAACTGATGAAGACTGGCGTAATTGCTTAGCTTAATCCTGCATAAACACAGTCTTCCATTTGTAAATGCTACTTAGAGTAACCGAGTTAGACGGCAGTAGTCCGGTGCGGTATAAATGCTGAAATCGCAATACTTTGCACAGTTACACAAGCTAGTAGATTATGAAAAACTGTCTGCGTCATACACCCAAAACATGTGCAGAATTAGGCGATACTGTATAAGCTATTAAAATCGTCTGAGGGACTCCACAGTAAACACTTTGCTTATGAATCAGCAGAGTCAATGGAGGATTGGAATGGAAAATCCACCCTAAAATGAAAGGATTTCTCAAGGATCTCATTTGTGGATTAAAAGTATTTGTTTCATGAGAAAATGTCATGATTTAAAGCTGGAAAACTTAATTGAATTATAATTTATTCAAGTGTTATATCTCAACCACAGATTATATAAATCCATGTGTCATTAACAAATGAATGATTAGTGGACAGCTCCCAAAGTGTCACCCAGTGACACAATTAATTAGTGTTTATTATGCTCTCCATTTCTTTTGATAAGGGAAATATTTGTGGTTTTAATACATGCTGGCTTTACCAGCCAAACTGAAATGCACTGGCATGTAAATTCTGTTTTAGGGTGGACTTTCCTTTCATTGTTTGCATGTTTAGGCAATATTTGTCCCATGGTAAATTGAAACCAATGGCTTAGATGTACTTCTCTTCCCTCTCCAGAGAGTCTGCCTGGATCAGAGCCAGATGTCTTCAGGCAGACTGGAAGGTAATTAAGTGGCAGCAGACTGGGGCATGCTGTTTCAGGCATCCATATGAAATGATAATGGCAGGACTGCTGCCTTAACATAATAAAACAACACCAATATGACACACATACACACAAAGAGACACATACATGAAGATTTTAAGATTCTCGAGAACTGCATGGCAACAATTTGGGTTTCACATTACGGCGGATTACTAACAGTAATTTAAAATAACCTAACATGTAAAAAAGAGCAATAGTTTCTTGTTGTTTTTTTAGGGCCATGGAAATGTATTTAAAAATTGCTTCAATTGTTAGAGTTTACTGAGGTTCACAATATTTTTTTTGGTTTGTGAAAATACAATCTTGTTTAAATGCTTCCAGCTAAAGAGTTAATGCCAAATCTTGCACTGCTTTTCATGGTCTACTTGGAATAAACGCATAGCATTTTGCAGTATTTTTCTTAAGAAAACCGTTTTATACATCTAGCACTGTTTATGTGCACAATCTTTCTCATATTAAGCATGCACATTTTTTTTTTTTACTAGTGATGTGTAATTTGTCTAAGGGTAAATTGACCCCTCAGTGTCAGTCACGAGACACTTGTCAGGTTTCATTAACCAGAATTCCTTAGCGGACACATCGACTGAGGTGGCTCACAGCGGCAGATAACCTTGAAAGGACCCATTAATGTCCAGTCATCAACCTTGCAGGGCCTTTTTCAAGTCGACCTAAGTCTCTATATTGCTTTATTATTATGGAAAGGTGTCTTTGATTGAATGTCATTGCAGCCAAGGAGAGCTCAATCCACAGGAATTTTCAAATGACCTCATTTATAACATTTCTAGAGCTGCCTGTACGGGTAAAATGCAGTAGATATCGAAATACTTTTTGAAATACGCGTTTCTCCATTTGGGTGAACTGAGTTCTTAATCAAACTGGTGCAACATTTCCGTCCAGAGGAAAAGGACGCACTCACAAATGCCTCTACTGGTGTTCTTTGATTTCCACTGATCGGTTACTGGTGGTCACATGTTCGTTTAATACTAAACTATGTGAATATAACAACGCTGTGTATCCTATGCACGCGGAATGCAGGCGATGTATCCTCACATCACCAGGGAGCCTCGCGTGAAGGTATCTGCCGCCAGAGGCGCTGTCTGAACCGGAGGATCACGTGTCCCCGACGTGACGAAGCAGGAAGTAGCTCCCCGCGGAGAGCAGCAGCAGGAGGCACAGAGTAAACATGCCACAAACACTCTTTGATACAAATCACATGAGCCGTCGTCATTGCGTTTGACTCTTCGAGGGGCGCTCGGGTTTCCCGCGTCACCTTTTCGCACACAATCCCAAATGTGGGTCAGCTCTTACCGCCGTTTCGGCCGTAAGTTTTAAACGAGCATGTTTCACCAAAAATCCCCGTTCAGAGCTTTTATCCGCGCGGTGCTCCGCGTGCAGGTTGACAGACGGCGCGTGACGCGGTCGGCGGCCTGCGGGGCGGACGAGAGACGGAAGGTGCTGGAAGGCAGCAGTCCGGCGGAGATCGGTGCTGACCTCAGCGGGACAAAGTTCACACAGGAACAAATGGACATCCATGCAGCCCATACGGAGGCGTGCGAGGTAAAAATGACCCCCCCTCTCACATCTCGTGCTTTTATGCTTTCATGTTCAGCCTGTTTGATGTGATTAGCGCAATTACCTCTGATTAATTAGCTGTCGGCTTTAATTTGCTCAGTTGCTGCAGCGGTGGAGAAGTTTGATTGTTGCACTGACACAATATGCAGGTACAAGTCCGCCATTCAAAGTGTTAGTGAAGTGAGAGTAGAGTTTTATCAGCCGAATTCAAAAAGCAAAGCTATGATTTCACAGTGCGAGTTGTTGTTCAACGCAGGATCAACAAGCAGCATATCAGGTGTTGTGTACTATGTTAGAAGTTGAGTTACAGTTGGGGGATAGGATAGAATACAAGCAATATTATGATACACAATGGTCATACGTTTGGATGACAAATCCAAATCTAGAACGTAATTAAAGCCGTTAGATAATAAACAGCAGATTGCTCAGTGGCACAATAACCCCAAATAATTCCTACAAATAACACCGGTACAATAAAACCACATGTTATTTAAGATCATGTGAATAATAATATGCTGTTTGTGGTGCGTCTCCAAAGCCCACCTGTCCCCAGTGCACACTTCCCAGTGGGTTCCTGGGAGAGTGACGTTGTGTTGTACTTTGAATTACTTAACGTGAGAATTGTGTTTTTCCACTTTGACGCAAGCTTCCACACTTTCCATTTTTACAGTAATATTACAGTAAATCTTTAAACAAAGGTGGTGGGAAGATAAGACTTTTGCGTTATCAAGTGGTGGCCTGAAGATAATTCCAACAAATAATTTCCGGTTTTGTTCCATTTTTGTACCCATCAGCGCTGTGATAAAGTAATGACGACCATTGTTTTTGTCAGATCCATCATATTCACCGAATCGTACTTGCTCCTCCATCAAACAGAGCGAGGGACAGGTGTCATCTCGGCGCCCTCGGGCTTATCTGTTGTAAATATTGTGCTCCCTAGTGTGGATGAAGTTGAGGCAAGGTGGCCGCGACCTGAGGAGAGCGGTGGGGCCTGGGTGGGAAAAGCACAATACAGAGGGGGCCCTGCTATGCCAGCTTCACTATGTGGCCCTGCAATGCCATGCGAAATGACAGGCCGTGTCACCGGAAGGCCTGGGGCCTTTTTCCCTTTGTGGCCTGTCAAAGCTCACCAACTAGTGGGCTCTCAGTTTGAAACAGACTGAGAGATGACATTCCCTAACTTCCTGGGGGGTGACGGAGTAGTGCAGTGTTTTTTCACGTACAGAAGGTGTTTATGTGTCTGCACCAGTTCAGTCAAAATAAAGAGGTCATTTTTTCAACAAAAAAAAATAAATTTCAGCGTCCTGTGAATGTGAAGTGGATATAAAATGTGAACGCTGTGCAACCAGCTAATTAATCTATCGCACAGAATAGCAAAGAACTGCTTTAATTCATTAGTAACATCTTCAGAGTTAAGACTTTCTTGCATCTGTTTGTCTCCATAGAGCTCGTCCATTCCCCGTCTCCTCGGTCCAAAGCAATCTGTCCCTATATGTATATGTTCATCCCCAGTATTAATCTTCCAGCAGCCTCTGTGTTCGGGTGTGTCTATGCGCTGTGCGGTTATGTATGCACCAACAAACGTGTTTGAATGTCACACTGATTAAATAACAATATCTTCATTATGTTCAGGC